AAAAAATACTTTTTATTGTCAAGTGTTTTACTTTATGCATCACAATAAAGATTGAAAATTTTAAGTCAATTTAAAATTTTGGTGGTTTTTCTAAATTTTCTCCCTTGTCACCGTGGCTGGTGACAAGAGAGCTGGTTCTTTTCTCGCTCAAAGGTTAAGCATAACTATTCAGCGAGGAAATGAGCTAGCGTTCTTGGCACCATGCCGCGTGGATTAGGTTTATTAGATAATATGTAATTTTAGGTAGATTTAATCTTGTAAATATTAGATTATTAAAGTATGTTATATGTATTTAAAATTGAAATCAAATTATTAAATATAATAATTTGAATAAAAATAAAAAATACTTTAAAATATATTCTTATATCATAACATTTCTGTTCGTGGGAAATAAAATCTCTCTATTTCATAGCCAGTGTGTAAGGAAAAAAATTAAATCAATCTCTTGCGCTGAGGCAAATTATAAAACGTGTGAATATTTAGTCTTGAAATTGAATGGCTAAGCTAATTACATTACAATTTACAATACCATTTCCATATTGTTACAATCGCAATTGCTCACTTCGTTAACAAATGGGAAAGTTCCGTTTTCTGTGTGAGAAATTAGTTTTCATTACACCTAAAAGGTGGAAATATTACGCCTAGTCTAGTCTAGCAGGTCATCGAAGAGGCGTCAATGAAAGTTCTAAGCTATGTAACCTTCGACAGTTGATGAAACATCGTCATCGTCAGCGTTATCGTCTATGAATGGAACGTTACGTCTAACAAACCAGACCAGTATGACAGATGTATTCAGTAAAACTAATTAGCTTTTTATTTTATGTTTTTTGGCACAAAAGTGTATGTTAATTAGGGGATGGGATTGGCTCCTGAAATACAGGATATCCTAGTTTTGGAGTCAAGGCGCCATTAAATGTGTAACTAAGTGTTTAATAAATCACATTTATTATTAATGAGTAATGATTTCGAATATCGCTGTTTATCAGGCGACAAACAGGATATAAAGAGGGTGGTTTATAATGGACCAAACACTTTTCCCATATTCTCTATACGATAACACCTGCAATTGTTGATGCTTTTTTATTATTTGGATGGCAAATTAGTGAATTACTTGATGGTACATGAGTTCGATAACGCATATAACGTTACACAAGACGAAACGCAAAGTAAGATAATACTTTATTTTTAGTCCGGTCTTCTGTGAGGTACTTCATCGGTTGAGCAAATCTATTTAGTACGAGAAGCTGTTATCCTACCACAATATATATCTATATAATTAAATATTTAATTGCAGACTGCTCACTAGATACTAAGCCATCACTGACTACATGGTCTTCTGTATACAACTTGGCTATTACTTTTTATTAGAACTGAAGAATAACAAGACATGCTGGGGGTTTTTTTAATTTGAAATTTTATATTATAAAAGTAACTAATGTTAATAGTAATTCTATATTTTGTGATTTAATATACTAATGGAAAACAAATTCGATAGTCAATGGAAAATAATATGACAATACAAATATTTTTGATTCAAATTATTACACAAAAGGTAATTCAGGGTGATTTGAATAGTATGGCCTTAAGTTCTAGGCCTTTTATGAGCTATTAAATTCTCTTCTTTCGTAGCGGGTTTCGTAAATAAAAGATGCTGCGAAAGTTAGTGTATACATTGAGGTAAACAATAAAATTTTATTGACAAGGTGTCAATAAACTCCGTTTTGGATACATTTTAAAAGTCTGTGAAAGACATTAAACTAGTTACACTTTCAATATTTTAACAGTTATTTTACATTGTTTTGACAGATTTTTGTTTTCAGCTCGATACTACTAAGGCTTTGACGGACGTATAGTTCACGGGTTTCAGATAGATTCCACGACACTGTATACTCTTAGTTACGGTACTGTTCCCCTGGCGTTGGGCTACTGTCACTTATGTACAATCGAGGTTCGGTAAAATCGGTCATCAAGTTCGTACAGACGTGCCGCCCGGAGAACCGCTGGTTTTATTAATCGTTGGGTGGTGAGAACCGCCCTGGTCACAAGTTTATCTTGTGAAGGTGTTAAGAGTCTTAAGAGTGTCTATATCTAGTTTTTGTGTTTAGACCAATTGGATGTTTGTGAACCGGTCTTATGTGGTCGTATAGAGTTTTGTAGACCTAATAAAAATATAAAAAACGATAATTGGTGAGCTGATGGGGTCGTCGGCTTGCTAATAGCTATGGACTGTTTCCATGTTCCAGTAGGTATATAATAACCACTGGAGATAGCGCCACATAAGACCGGTCTCTATGGTTCCATACAATTCCACGAGGCAGGGAACCACCCGACTCGTGCATCCGTGTGGGTGGGCTGAGGTCAGGGCGAGTAAATACATGAAGTACCTGGGCGTACACTTGGATAATCGCTGGGGCTTTGAAGAGTTTCATTTCGAGCGTCTAGCCCACGGGATAGCTTGCAATAAAAAGTGGGTGCAATGCACACCTAATCTAGGGGTACCAAGGGAGGAAGTCCGCCGCTTCTATGGAGGGGTTGTACTTCCCTTCCCGTAGTTGATCCGTTGATTTGTACGGAAAATAGGCTTTTTACTCGACGCTGTAGATCCAAAGTCTTTAGAGTTCAGAGACGGATAGCTATACGGGTCGTAGGTGGGTATAGAACTATATGATTCGAGGCACCAACTGTCTTGGCTCGCTGCCTTACCCTTGATATACTGGCGGAAATGGATGCGTGGGTGTATCACCGAAAACGCGCCCTTCGTTTAAGTGGTGGCAGTGAGCCAAAAGAGGCGTTTAAATCCATCAAACGGCAGGAACTGCGGCGAGATTTCGCGACGAGGTGCTGTCGGCTCAGTCAAGAGTAATACACGCATAAGCTTGTCATCGAAGCGTTCCCGCCGGTCTTTTATATTATAAAAGTACTTCGACAACTTCGACACCTGAATGCAGCGGCGAGAAGGTAGACTCACCTAAAGGCTAACACAGATCATGGATGATCACTGGGCATGGATGCTTTAGTGATTGTCTGTGGAAAATTGGACGTGAGGCGACGGCGATATGCTTCCACTGTAGTGGGATCAACGAACACTCCGCAACTCATACATTTGCGGTGAGCCCGGTTTGGGATGTGGAGCGGAGTGCACCACACTCCGCTCCACATCCCAAAGGCCACATTAAGGTTGGGCGAAACCTCAATCTGTCAGCAGTCGTATCTGCGATGATGACAGGAGAAATGTAGGACTAAAATAGGACTGTGACTCCAGGAAGAGGCTGCTGGGTGGGATCGAGAAATAACAGATCCCACCTCGGAGACGTGGCCACCGACGCATCCATGCACCTCGCCACGGCCCTCCAAACGGAAATAGTGCTTCCCTACCAGAAACGGGGCCTCAGGGGTCCTGAGCGATTGCCCTTAATTGCCCAGTAAAGCCCCTAAAGGAGGTCGGTGGCTTTAAGTAGAGAGAGACTCCACGGCAGAGATACTGGGGCCAGCGTAATGCTGTTCCTGACCAGGGTATCATAGGCAAGCTAAAGAGGGGCCGCGGTAGTTTTCCGAATGGAGATCCCACGACCGGAGCAGATCAGAGCAGATGGCAACCACTTTTTAGCCGTTGTTAGTCCGACATAACTTGGTTCTTCTCTAACCGGAAAGCCAGGTATCTAGATATATAATGGTTTTCTCACGTGAAAAATGGCATATAAAAGCCTGGGAACACTTTTTCTTTATTGTAAAGCTATTGATTATGATGTAAAATAAAAAACAGAGCCAATAATTTTGAACAAAAAAAAAACCGACTTCAAACAGGAAAGTAAAAGCATTGTCAACACCCTTAACGATTGAGGATTGCCTTCGATTTCTCTAGGATGCCATCATCAGATCTGGGTTTCCTTATCATGGGACCACTCTTGGGATATCTCCTGTCCAACAAAAGAACAATCATCAAAATTGGTTCATAAATTACGAAGTTATCCCCGAACACATATTAAAAAAATATATATTCGAATTGAAATTAGGTCGAATTGAGAAACCTCCTTCTTTTTTGAAGTCGGTTAAAAACTATGAAATATCGCAAAAAAAAAAATATTTGTCCAGATACACTATTTCAAACATCTTCCATTTGCTCTTATATTTTGTGCTATAATAGACAAAATATAAGAACACCAAACCATCTCTCGTTTTACTTTGCTGTTAAATTTTTGTTCCGGAAAAAATAAAAATATAAAATGTGTTACAAAAACAATTACGGTTTTGAAACCTTAGTAACCTTGGTTTTGAAGCCTTAGTACAGTTATTTATCTTTGCAGTAGCTACGCTTTTGTAATATCTATTAATTTTACATACGTAACATAAAAAACTAACATCATATGCTCCTAGATATTGATACAAAAGCAACAGTGCATTGGACGAGCAGTGTAATTGAAATTTCGAAACTACAAATTCTTATGTATCTTACGGCTTCTATACGAAATTCGGGTATTCAGATTTTCGTTTTGATATGGAAATCGCCAACATAATTGGCATTAAGAAAAGGCGAATAATTTAAAATAAATTTAATGTGCATAATAATTACTATTTTTATCTTAATATAATATAATGATCGATGTTTTTTATTGCCTATTAATAAACAATTCTTGCAAGTTCGGCCTCCAGTTTCGTTTACGACATTTTAGCAGTATATGGATGCTTTTTGTGTGTGCTATTTACGCAAGATCCGTTAAAAGTTTCTTTACGAATCCGGACCATTAGAATCAAATTTAAATGATACTTCTTTATTTGGCACTCAAGGTTACGTTACTGAAAGCCTGATAAAAATTGACATAAAAAGGTAAGCGTTCCCTTTCATTAGTAAATGACACATACCATGGTAACGAAGATTATTTTTGAATTACATTTAAAGAGTAGAAGTTAACTTAAAAACATATTATATGAATACAAGTTGGATCATAAGTAATATTGATTGTAATGAAACGATGGAAAATGGCGAGGAATGTTATTTCTTAAAATCTTCTCCCTTTAAATGCTGACGGCTGGACGTTGGAGGCGGCGCCTACTGGATTTGGTGGCAATGAACTCAAGTAATCCAGTGCTCTCTGTATCGCTGGCGGGATTGGTGGAGGTGTTGGTAAATGGTCACCCTGAAGAAGAAGAAAAGAAGGTTTTAACCTCATTATGAAGTATATCAGTGTATCTTTTTTTATATTCACAACCGCGTATTCTTAACATACGAGTAACACGTTGATGAGCCGTGGTAGCTCAGTGTACGGGCGCTCGCCTTTAATTTAATATACTTGAACAACCTGAGTTCGATCCCCGGTGCCAGCACCAATGAAATTGTCAATTTCAAGTAGAATTATCACGTGCTCAGCGGTGAAGGAAAACATCGTTAGGAAATCTGAATATTTTCGAAATAATAACAAAATAAAAATATTTAGAAAGATATGTGAAGTCCGCCAATCCGCAGTAGGATCGCGTGGTGGACTATGCCCTAGTATTCTCTGTACAGAGGAGGCATTTGCCCAACTATGGATCATGTATAGGCTGATACTTTTTACACGTTTATTACTAAGTGACTAAATAGTTTAATAGTATTTGAATAACTTATAAAGATTTTATTTATCTTTAGACAGTATTTTATAAATCGTAGTTATATCATGTAAATAGTTTAGAAAAATATATATATGATTGTTCTATAAGTGTTCCAGCCGTAAGTTTTCAGCAAAATAAATAAAATAGTATAAAAGCAGAACAAAAAGAACATGCTAAATTTCGCGTAAAGAAATAATACTAATTAGATTTCACAGCTAACCTGGTTATTGAGTAAACGACAAAGAAGTCACTCGTGTTGTCATATTTATTGGTTGCTCAATGAAAACGAAAGCTGTTTTTAAATAAGGCGGAGTTCAAATATTTGCAGTCGAATTGCTACCCAGTGTGAAATATTGCTGAAATAGAAGACACGTAAGGCCTAGGTCAAACTAAAGGGCACCAGCGAGAGCCGCGTAAGGCGTACGCGAGAACAATGATTACGTAATTTACATGAATCACATGCACTGTTAAATAAAATTTTAAATGCCAAATGCGCTTAGAATACGGCGGAGTATTCCTGCAATCGTGATTGAGATGAATTCTTTATTGATGCCGTATTTGACACATCACGTAATGCTCAAGGAGGCCTGAGGCCTTTAAGATAATATTTTCAATTTATTACCTTATTATTTATATAAGTTTTGCCGTTATATAAAGGCGTCAAATAACTATTAACGGGATTTCGAAGATAAAGCAGATAAGGAAGGACAAAGGATTGGACATTTAGTAAAAAGTTTAGCTAATTACCTGTCTGCCTGCTTAAGATTTTCTACATGATTTTCTACATGTGTTTAAAGATGGTTCTTACTACATTGTTCTGGGTCGCGTGGTCCTATGCCCTCTTTTTTGCCTAGCACAAGGACATGTATCGGTTAATACCTCACTGTATCGGTTAATACCTTACTTTTTAAGATTCGCTCTTATGTAAAACCACTAAATAACTAATAACAGGATAAATCAAATAACTAACCAAGGAAGCACATAAGAAAGAACAAAGGTTCGAACATTTAGTAAAAAGTTTAGCTACTTACCTGTCTGCCTACTTAAGACTTTCAACACGTGTTTCAAGATGGTTGTTACTTCATTATTCTGACAAGGGTGCCATTTATGCTAATGGTAATTTTCTTCGCATAATCTAAATTATATGAAATTGACTTTACGTAAGCAATGAAGAAAACATGATTAACGACGTAAAGTTTTTTACGAAGGAATTCGCTACTTTTATAAAACTTTTGATTGCTTTATCTGTTATGAGACCTTGGTTTTCAAATCTGAGGTGATTTGTGCTTTTATTATTTAAATTAGTCCGTAATAGAGTTTAAGCAATAACTTGATTTTTGTTGCGTCTATATGATTCGTATGGAAATTACGCAGGACAATTATATAGTTCAACGTCGTTGATGCATTTAAATTGATTCCTTAGAATGTAAGCGATAACTCCCATGTCCCAACAGCAGTTCATAGGGCGCCATTTGATATTTTAATGCGACATTTGGCCACATGTTAGCCAACCACGGATTACTCCCGCGCCTCTGTCTCGCATATTCATTAAATTTATTATCAGGTTGGTTAAGGCCGAATTGAAAGAAGATTCAATATTTACCTTGAGATGTAGTCCTAGAAGTCTTACATAATTATAACAAAAACTATGACGACGCAAATCTCCTTGACACTGACTTTAGATTAATTTAAAATAATAATAAATAAAACGTTAAATGACAGATTTGATACAAAGATGGTACCAGGAAAAATTTCTTTAGTAGTTGCAGTATTTCCTCATACTGTTTAATGGAACTTTGCGCTGTCAAATACGAAAAGGTCAATAAAATAATATTTTATGTAACCAGATTTTTTAAGTGTCTTTTCAATCATATAAACATTTTTTAAACAATGGTCAGTCGCAATAGTAAGCAGTATTGCGCAGAGTCGTATCCAAGCTTTCTTAGCCCATCGTTACGAAACAATAAAGCAGAATTACTGGTTGCGGCTTATTAAAATAAAAAAAAAAAAAAAAACCTCAAAACCTTTGAACGACTCAAAATGGTAAATGAAAAGTTGTTTAATTTTAACATTTTATCACCATCACACTGAACTGTACATGAACTTGTCTTTAGCGTTTTAATAACACCGGATTCCATGATGCATCTGCTCGTAGCATTCTGCGAGTGCAGACCGAAAGATGTCAAGGATGCTGCGAGCAGTCTGCGCGTAGCGCCATTTACGCAGGCGGTATAGTCATAACTTTATTTTATGCATCACACTAGCTGCTGACCGCGACTACGTCTGCGTAGAATAGAAAGCGTAACATCCAGACAGAAACACAGATATACATAAAAATATGAATATAAATTATACACTATGTCTTTTTCTGATATATAAGCTATATCATTGTAAAGTTTCATTAAAATCCATTCAGTAGTATTTGCGTGAAAGAGTAACAAACATCCATCCTTACATACAAACTTTCGCGTTTATAATGTATGGATAACATCGCGGCGATCTATCTGGTGTTTAATTCAGAGTAGGATGTTAACAAATCGCTCTTCACCGTATTTTAACCAGTTTATATTGATTTTATTAGATACCTTAACGTCGTCCATCATCCGTGATAACGATCATATTAATTAATGTACTTCAAAATAACTTATCTTCTGCTAAGGTTTCTGACAAGTTATTTTGCAAAAATAATAAAGCAAATAGTGTTTTGATCGATTTTGTCGATAGCAAAAAGAAAAAAGAATGAATATGAAAATGTTTATTGTAATTCTGCACCCATTTATTCAACTTAACCAAAATATTTAGTGTACCTTTATTTTGTACTAGCTGTGCCCGCGACTTCGTCCGCGTGGAATTAAAAATCATAATATAAGGTTCCACTTTAACGTGGGCCTTTCCGTTGAACTTGAAATGCATTCGTGCTAACTCTGTGTCCCAAAGAGAACAAGTTCGCGTAACGACCGTAACCAACGAGTTGGAGAGGGTTATGATATAACATTACCTAATGTATGTCTGTTCTCTTTACCTCAACTAACCGTGATTTCGTTGGAGCCGCCTTTGTTTGATTTTAAGCAATATCTGACATAAATTATCTACCTCTTGTTTATATCTAATCTATTATACAGTAACAATAATTATTTTTAATTATGTTCATATATTAAGTAATTAATCCATAAAATTTGTGTGATTATAGAAGATCCCAAGCATAAAAACAAAGTAGTGCATTTTTGTTCTATATTTTAAAGCGTGTATTGAACTAACATCCACGTATTACCTTATTCAATTTGTTATTACTGGCTTACCAAAAAAACTATACCTTGACCTCCTTAAGCCCTGTTTTGACATACAGTGCTATTCCCCGGGAATCCAAAAATTTAAAAAGTTATCGATAATGACAGAGTTACTAGTGACAGTTGATGAAAAAGTTGTTACACTGGTCTCCTGTGAGGCCGTGGTACTAACACGGATGAGCCGGCCCTTTCAAGGGCACTACTTTAAACAGTAGAAGTGGTTATGTGGCCCTCTCGCAGTAAAAGAGTTCTTTGACCTCATTGGTAACAATTATTATTAAAATAAAGGAGACAAACCTGCGGCTGGAAGCCGTTGGCGTCAGCGACGTATTGAAGTGAGATTATGGTACCGTCGGGTGCTTTGTAGCTAAACTTTCCCTGAGCCACTTGCTCCTCCTCGCCTTCGCCTTTCCCAAAGTTCTTCACATAGCCTGACTCCTCTGCATTAATTTCGTTACCAGTTTCGTAGCTGCAACGTTAGAATAATACTAATCCTTCAAGGGAAATAAAGAGTTTTCAGGAATTATGTTAAGCTATTAATATCTTTTGTTATATGATAGTTTCAGTTTCTGTTAGAAAAATAAAATGCGTTTTATTTAAGCTTACAGCCACTTGTAGGATCCGTCTACATTTGGTCCCTCCGATTCAAACCGAACTATGGGAATAACATCTTTGGGTTGTTGTGCTTGAACTCCAATGGAAATAACCATCAAAGTAAGAATAATATAAGAAATCTGAAACAAACAGAAAAACAGCTAATTATAATACATAGTGTGAAACAATATTTTTTGGAGAATATAAATCAAGCGCCTGTAAATTAAATGAAGCAAATTTTGTTTTATAAGTAATCTCTTTACGAGTATCGATCAATATTCAAACCGGCGCTTTTTTAAATCAAAGAAAATCATTTCAAAGTATCTTGGTAAGGTACAGAAAATACAATACTAAAATAAAATAAATACTGAAATATTTTACGGACTCCCGTATGAATGTTACTTTAAACGTAAAAAAAAATACTTTTTATAATAAAAGCATGAATGGCGCAACGGTTTAAGTGCCCACCAATTTTTAACGATCTCCAAAAAGTAGGTTTGATCCTCAAAATGTGTAAAGATTTATTTATTCCGCAAACAGCAGTACCGATCATTATAGACTTTGTGCCCATGAATTCATGCAATCATGAAACCCCCGTGACAGTTTTGGCAACTCAATTGACATTTGACAAGCCATTTGACAGCTGATTAGTTAATTACTAAGATGATAAGTGTTTCAGGAACCGGGACCTTAGTTTCTCGGGCGGTAGATATTGTTTAAAATAAAAAATAAAACGAAATTAAGCTTTAACTGCGACAAAATTAGATAATATACTGATTGCTTGAGAGCGGAACGCAAAACGCGTGCACCGCACTCGGAAGTGTGTGCGAGTGCCGGAAGGGAGAGTCGAAAGTAGTTCTAACTAACAATCAAATGTATGAATGGAGTTGCGAAACAACACTTGTGATTTATTTGTCGCTCAGTTCTATAAATAATAGTGTTTTTAAAGGGGACCGCTGTGAAAGACCATACTCTGAATACCCTGATTAATTTTGGTAAATGTAAAGGACACTGACGTTGGCGTAATTCAATTAAAATGAATTTAAAACGATAGAGAAAAATCACTAATGAATTAATCCACAAGCAGAATTCAACGGTCGCTTATAGTTTTCGAGAAAAAAATATTTAAAACTTGTTATTTTCACTAAGAAAGTCCGCCATTTTATTAGTTTGACTTCGAAAACACAATAGACAGTTCTGATGATAAATATAGGAAGCGGGCGACTTCATACTCGTATCGATTTTTTTTTTTTTAATTTTAATGAGTCACAGAACCAACACAAAGCAATCAGACTCGGTTAGATTAGGTTAGAAGGTTTATTAACCTTCGTGGTTCATTTTATAATGACCACCCAGAAATTAGACCAGAATTAACATATTGACAAAAAAATCAAAAAAATAGTGAAAATCTCACTATTTCAGTATTTATTTCTTCGAAAACTAAAAGCGACTGGCGAATTCTGCTCGTTGATTTGCATTTAGATCAATTATTGTTTATTGTTTTTCGTTTTTGTTTATCAAATATTGTCTTATGTAGGATTATATTGTGAATGGAATAGCTACATTTTAGACACAAACTGTCATTAAAAAATTCAGTTTGCTGTTTAATATGTGTATGTTGTTTGATTTATTTTAACTTTAATGCATTTATAACTTAGCTTCCAAAAGGTGCATGTCAATTTAAAGTATAAATCATGGGCTTATGAAACATAAATATAACTAACTAGATATAACAATAGATCATAAAGAGAACCCACAAGGTCATGCCAGTTCAATTCGAACAGCAGTAGTCTGTCTCTACTTTGCAATTGACAATGTAAGTAACAAAAAGGAAATGCTACTGGGTAGGTTAAACTACATTTTGATTAGGAATCGGCCAACAACGCCTCAACGTCAAAAAGCGTAAGTTGTACGGTCTGGTGTCGTTTTATTTAATTAGCTACGAATAGTTGTCTGAACGTTATCTATAACTGCATTAGCTTGATCGCTACAGTATTAATTTTTTTTGTTATGTAAACATTAAAAAAAATTGTCTTATAAATACTATTATGCATTAGGCTTGAAAATAAATCACAATTTTAATTCATCGATAAAGTTTATGGCATAAAGGAAAACGCTAGGAAGAAAGGCTGTCGTGATTTGATAATATCTTAAGGGGTACGAAGAACAAAAATGTGCACGATATTTTTGTTTGTACGACATTAAGGTAATAGTGGCAACTGTTATAAAACATTCCTCACAACAACTCTTTCCCTTGCAGTGAGGTATAATTTGTAAATTCATTATTATTATTGCTGTTTATGGTGTTGTTTACCCTAAATAAAATAAATAATCAATTTAATTCCTATATGCACTATATACCTAACTTGTAGCGTATATATACTTGTGGCGTTATAGCATTGTTATAGAGTTAACAAAACATGAAAAAAATTGATAACGATATCCTAATCCGGACCCGCGTTTTGATTACAATAAATACGTAAAATTTTTGTAGATTTATGATGAATGAAATTATGAAATAATAATGTTTTCAATATAATACTACTATATGCGGTAATAGAAGTCAAAGGTAGCTTTAGCAGCTTATACTTTTATACTTGTGGGTATCGAGCCCACGTCCCCCGGCATCGAAGCCAATGCCTTGGCAACTGCGCCACGGGACTCAAACTCTATCTTATTCTCCTCAAACTCTATCTTATTACCTTAATAATATTTCTTGTGGTTTTATCACGCGCTTGTTAAATAATTTCATAAATAAAAACTAACTTGTGCTTGCTGTTAGCCCACATGAACTTTTCGTAGTTCGATTTGTAGTAATTTGTTTGTTAATATTGTAATAATATTATCTCCAAAAAAAATACTCTTTCCTTAATCAAAACTTTTATGTAACACGGTTGGATAGATTTGACGAATAACATAAGACCACAAGCATTATTAATTAAGCAAGAGTGATTACTGCACGACTACAAGTTAACAGTTCATTTACTGCTTTAAATTCGTAGATCTAAGCTGTATTAATCTGTTAGTAGTATAATAAAGACATATTATACGTATATTATTCTTCTCTTAGTTTAGCCTTTTGGTTATACGCGCCTATTTTATGCTAGGTTATAAGAGAAATATTTTATATATTTATATGAAATTTTTCCTTTTTAAATATGGCAAAAATGTAAAAAATCTATTGTTTACAGAAACCAAAAATTTATATTAAGATTAAAGTTTACAAAATTCAGAAAGTCACATTAAATAAAAAAAAAAAAAAACAAAAATCAAATCACAATTTAAACTGTATGGGACGTGGACAATATATAAATGTGAATTCAAAATATTTAAATTTTTTTTTCAATTATTACAATCTTTATTGATCTAATATTTACAAGAGTAAATCTATCTAAAATTACATATTATCTAATAAACCTAATCCACGCGGCATGGTGCCAAGAACGCTAGCTACATTTCCTCGCTGAATAGTTATGCTTAACCTTTGAGCCAGAAAAGAACCAGCTCTCTTGTCACCAGTCGCGGCGTTAAGCCTAGGACATAAACTTTTAAAAAATGTAGATGTGCGGGGACCCCACGGACCTAAAATTTCAACAGGAAATGGCACAAATACATAATCTAAACATAGAGACTCATATTCATACTCACATACATTGGGTTTAAAAGGACCAATAACTATGTATATTTGTGATGGTTTGATGACAAAAAGGGCTTGCGAAATGTCTCAATCTGCAGAAACGAATCATATCAGATACGCGTGCGTTGAACATGATAATGATAACAGTAGAATTGTTCATTAAGGGAGAAAAGATTTAATAGTAAAGTTTTGTTGTTATCCCTATTTAATGATTACGTTTTTGTAAAATCTAATAATTTTGTATTTATATACATTGAAAAAATATTACTGTACTTGTGAATAAATGTGAGAAAGGCAGAATCAACAAGGAAGCATAAATCTTTTATGTATAACGAAAGAATTTTTTTTCCCGATTTCTTTTTTTCGTGAACTACAATATCGACTCTGCTTCAAAGTTATGAAATCACAAATATAAATCTTACCATTTTCGCGGAGTTCTCAAGGCGTTGGTACTAAGGGGTCCAGGTACAATCAAATGCAACTCGGATGTGTGCTAAGTGACACTGCAAGGGGCTTATATATCGTCTTCTTTACCTATGAACTTCGTGCAACCCGACGCAGCGCATCCCGACGAGTCATCAAACAAAACGCACACACGCACGAGTTATTCAATGCAACAGCATACACATGTATGCAATTAAAAATACTAATGTAAATAAAATTCCACATAATAATGTAATGAGCATGGAAGCTCTATTAAATCAGTGTTCTTTATTTATTAACTTCACCTTGCATAGTTCTGAGTGCTTAACGTTAAAGAAATAAGTAGTAAACCTTGTTGAATTATTGTAATTCACTCAATGTAAACTAATTGAAACTGGATCCTGCTGTTAATAAAAGTAGAGACTTTTAATATTTTAAACAAATATACATAGCAACCTTAAAGGATTCAGTTTAATATTTATCGAACATCCTTAGTTGCTCCCTACCATTTCAAATAAATCACGTTAAGCCTTGGCTATTTGTTGGTCATAAAATATCATGCAAATCCAATGGTTATTTTAAATAACATATCTCCTGAATGTTATGGTCAATTTTGTTTTATAAGAAAACATCATATTTATATTTGTTAAAAGCAGTCATTAAAATTACGAATTTGGAAAATTATCGATTTTTTCATTACTATTAGAATCATACTTTTTGATAATAGCGTTATTTAATGATAATTAAATGTCTTTTTTGTTTCTTGTAACTTGAATTAAACTTTGATTAGAAATTAAAAATTAGTGAGGAGAACCAACTCACGGGTCTTGGTATACCTTTAAATGTAAAGTTATAAATATTTATTATCTATATATCTCCATTTGCGTGCACAAATATGAAAACTTTAATCAACTCTAATATTTATTTACGAAAAATATAGTAATTATGTATTCTCCATTAATTTACAAGATTACGAATCACAAAGTGGGTCTTATGACATTCTTTAAATCAATACAAGTGAGTAAGAATTGTTTGCTTCATAACATTTCAAGCCTGTAAGTAATTTGTCCGCTGTGATTGTGTTAGATTTAACATAATATAAAATTTTAAGTAATAGCAAAACTTGATAGTTTCGCTATTACTTAAGCCTTAAGTTGATGCGATTATAAATTAAAGGTACCGGCTTAATGTGAGCCTTCTCTCAATGACCATATAACATAAAGTTGGATGAATCGATTAACATGCGCTTATTACCGGGACTTACTTATATATTTCATAGCAAAGTTTTTATCCACTTATTACTAGGTGTGACTTGTTACTGTGTCGTGTTTGTACTTTTTCTGTTAAAAATTACTTTACTCGTAAACAAATGTAAACAACATACTTTTCGGCCCAAATTTATTTCCAATTTTTGGTATCGGGATAATAAGCTGCGCTCCCCGATCTGTTTGGCAAAAGACATGAACGACGCTAGATTCTAACACACTCAAAACATCTACAGTACAATCTTGTATCTTGTATTAACTGATGTTTTTGCTTTCAGTCCCGAGACTATTAAAGCTTCATCGGACGCAGAACCGGTGGGCTAGCCAGAACCCACGGGTTTGGACTCTCCGCTATGGGTAGGGTCGCGCATGTGCTCATGCGTGCATTTAATTATGGTGTGTCATCTAAGGGCCGTCGAGGTCGCGGTTCGGACCGAGACCCCGACGGCCGTCGACTGTGCATTTAGCTAATCGGTGGCTGGGAGCGGTGAGAACCGCCCCGGAACGCGGGTGTACCTTGTGTACGCGTTGTGTGGGTCTCGCCGTGCTCGGAGGCGAGGGCGAACTGGTGTGATTGTTGTTACACTAACTGTGGGTGTAGTGTTATCCGGCGGGACCCCCGGCGGTGGGTCCATCGTATCTTAGTCCTCTTCGTCGACCGGGTCGATGAGAACGTTTCGCGGGCGACGCTTGTTTACGTTCGCGTTAGTGTCCGGTTGGTAGTACAATGTTGGCACAATCTCGCACCATACTGTGCATAATGACACCTCAGGGGGTGTTCCCTTCTGCAGCTTCAAGCTTCATGGAACACAGAACTCGTGAGATAACCAGCTTACACCGCCCAGCGGATCCAACGTACATAAGCCCTTTCGTTTTTAAGCGGTTACATGTACTTTGGATTGGTAAATTCGCTGCGTTTACCATTAGAATATTGAAATTATTTCCTGCTTCTTCGAGAAACCGTTGACGGGAAGCTGCACTCGCTATGCAGATTGACGTTACGCTTATACTTCCTAGCACTGATAGTGAGGCGGATTTTTTTATGTGAGGAAGTGGCAAATGAATTTGCAGTTTACCTAATGTTGAGTGATAACCGCCGCCTATTGACATTTGCAAAACCCGAAGGGCTGCAGATACGTTGCCTCCTTTTAATGAAGTGGGCCCGACACTTACCAGACGAAACGCAGAAGTATAACACTTCCACTCCGGTCTTCTGTGAGGTCATGGAACTTACCCGGACGAACCTGCCCATTCGTGTAACGTGGCCCTACCAGTTACAGGTACACTTTAAATAATAAATAAAATTAACGTGAGCTTTATAATATTAAAAAATCGTCGGACTCGCGCACGAAGGGTTCCGTACCATGATCTATAAAAATGGCAAAAAATCATGTCTGTTGTATGGGAGCCCCACTTAGATGTTTTTTTTATTCTGTTTTTAGGGTTCCGTACCCAAAGGGTAAAACGGAACGCTATTACTAAGACTCCGCTGTCTGTCTATCTGTCCGTCTGTCACCAGGCTGTATCTCATGAACCGTGATAGTTAAGATAGTTGAAATTTTCACAGATGCATTTCTGTTGCCGCTATAACAACAAATACTAAAAGACTATAAAAAATATTTAAATGGGGCTCAATAAACAATATTAAAACGATGATTAGCATGTTGTACCCAATTTAAGAACAAATGAAACACTACGTACACCGTCCATAAATTTGCTGCATAATGAAATATGCAAACGTGACCGCAACCAGCCTCTTGGTGAACAGAGACATGCAACTTGTCACCGAATAGCCGTCTCTTATTTATCGAGATTACGGAGCGCCTGGCATCAACACGTTTTTACGATTCCCGCCACTGAAATACGGCAAAGTTATTACGCTTTCCATTTTACTGAGAAGCGATTCTTATCAAATATTTAAAGTTTTTTAAGAACAATAATAACGCCCGTGTAACACATGTCACTGTGTATTTTTTGGTTACAAGTAGTAAGCTGTGAGGCTAACATTTAGTTTTAAAAATTGTAGCGGTACGGTTATATTGTAAAGTGTAAAAGTAGTTTTGTATATACAACGTTAATTTGTAATTTATGATGCAACGACAAATAAGCATCAGAGATATTATCCGTTTTGTACGAAAACAGTTATAACTTTTACATTTAGACTTTGTTTTACAATTTAAAAATGCGATTACTTCCTAGTTCAAAGTACCCCAAAATGGATTTATTTATTTCTAAAACTTCATATACAAATGTGTAAAATTTGATAAAAATATTCATTTTAAATGGTTATTATTATGATTATTACATGGATTATAGAGATAAACTTATAATTACCCAGACTAACGGTAATTGTTACCTATGAAAGCAGTAAGCATGATTTACACATACAATAAATATAGTTTGCAATACGGCTCTAATTACACGTCTGCTAAAATATCATAGAAATATATGGGAAGGCAAAGATGTAGAAAATCGTCCGTCACTCTAAGGTTTGATAGCAATAAAGATCAAGGGTCTAATTATGAAATACATTAGCTACATCGCAATGACCGTTGGCCCCTGCAATTCCTGTTTTGCACGTGGCATTTGACTGGACTCATGTAATCTTTTCAATCGACATTAAATTGAATGTATAAAGATGAAAGCATACACATATGGCAAGGCAAACGAAAATGCTAGCTTCATATTAATTCGAATGCTGACAGGATTACTTACGATGTAACATCTACAAATTGTGAAAATGGTGTCATGTTGTTGGACTTCCTGCCGTATTGTGAATATTGTGTGTTATCTTTCTTAACGTTAGCGTTTTTTACCGTTAATAATTCCATTTTGTAACATTTACTACCATAGGATGTAAAAAGATGGATGATGAATAGCCATTCATATACTCAATGAGATTCGACTCTGATTAAGTGGCCCATACTGTAACCGATTGAGACCTAATTTTATTAACTTTTCTTATTTCTTATTCTCTACAATTAACATGGTTTAGGTACATATAAAATATACTAATATTATCTTATCCTTTAAACGAGCAATTCTTGTATATATATAATCGGAGTCTCGGAAATGGCTCCAGTGATTTTCATTTTTAGTATGTGCATATTCGGGGGCGAAAAATCGATCTAGCTAGGTTTCATTTATTGAAAATGTCCTTTCATCTCTGTTTTCAGGGAATGAAAAATATCATTCGAATATGGCAGTAAATTTCGCCGCAAAAAAAATGTTATAATAGCTCGGTCGGTAATCGGGCGGCCCCAAAACTGACGGTCGCGGTTCGTATCACGATCATTTACGCACTATTTTTTTTTACTATATTTTCTATACCAGATCTTTTTTTTTATTTCTCCAGGTACTGTCTTATATACGTGACGAATGGTAATCATAAATATATAAGTATTTTAAACGTCGGAATCAGAAGTCTTAAAAATGTTTCATTCAAAAATTTAAATATTTCCTAAAGATCTTTTTGATTTACGCTAATACTACATTTACTATAGTTTAATTTTCTTTCATTTTCCCGATGTTTAAAGTGTTCCTTATTAGTGTCTCCTTAGTGTTTGTCCTTAGTGTTGTTTAGTGGGATCCCCGGTGGGTTGAGATCTGTATAAAGCTCGTGGGATAGTGTGAAATAAGCTACCGTAAACTTTTTGATAACTTAGGACAACTAATGAGGCCGTTCGAATAAATACCACGACGTCACAGTGAGGTAGCCGGGGCCAACTTCATTAAAAACTGCAATCCAACGGGTGTTACAAATGTCGATGAGCGGCGGTTATCACTTAACATCAGATGAACCACCAGCTCGCTTGCCATCTATCACTCAAAAAAATCTTTTGTTTTGATCTACGCAGAATGAGTAACTTCTCTATCAACTTGCTAATAGAATAATTAAAATTATCAGATTCAATGACAATGTATTAACTTTTCAAATTTACTGATTCGAAATCTGTTGAAAATAAATGCCTTCGCTTCAATTAGTTCATCCTTTTTATTAATGATGAGGAAATTGTTGCAGATATGGGCTAAACTAAAAACACAAAGTTGGTGTTCATTTTTATTAAAATTGGTTTATCAATAATTTGTAGCCATTCCTTTCGTTACTTCTCAATATTATTTTGCACTAACTGCCACCCGCTACTTCGACCGCGTAAAATTTATTATTACATCCAAAAATTATTACTGTTAAATTGCTAAATTAGTTTAATTTAGAATTAATTCGTTTATTAAGATAAGTTTATGCACACAAACATTTAAATAGTATACACGATTTACTTTGCGTGACCATGCATCTCAATTTAATGTGAATTTATTGAATAACGTGTCTTTATAATAGTACCGCTAATAATAATATATAATAATAATATATATACATAATAATAATAATAATAATAATAATAATCTAATAATAATATATATACATAACAGTATAAATCAGAATCCGGACATATAGCAGGTGCTAGCCGAGAGGACATTATATTACATATTTGAACAACTGATTCATAGATAAACTGATTAAACACATAAAAGTTGTACAATCAAAGGTCAAAGTTCTATCGTAACATCAATAAATGGAATCTTGCGAGTTATAAGTAACGGGTTTATAAAACCGGTTGACCTATTTCAACACGTGAGAAGATTAATATTCCAAATCCTGGACTATGGTATCTAACTTAATAGCTCCTGCTTTAGTATGAAAGAAATTAAAATACGACGGATTTTGTCGATTTTGATCTATTCCACATGTGCATCTTTCAACCGACTTTAAAAGAGGAGCAGGTTATCAATGCGATTCTATGTTATTGTGTTTTTAACTGTAGTAGAGCCATGCAGCGGGAAAGTACCACAACCTTACAGAAGACAAGCTTGAAGTGGCAGTGTTCTGCGTTCCGTCTGGTGATTGAGATAGCCAGGGCCCGCTTTATTAAAAGGTAGCAACTGCAACACTACAGATGCAACTGCAACACTACAGGTGTAGCAAATGTAAATGGGCGGCGGTTGTCACTTAGCATCAGCACCTCGTTTGCCACCACTCATATAAAATTGTTTTAACGTTCGTTACCTCAGAACTCCGTCATTTATGAACCAATTTTAAAAACCATTTTTGCATGTATTGATTTCCTTGGAATTGGACCTTGGACTCCGCAGATTCATCCTGTAACTCTTCAAACCCAAATATGTCCTTATTAGTAAGTGAGACATTTGAAGTCAGCTTTTTGTTTGTAAAAATTTACTTGTTTTGATAAATTGTCGAAAGCGATAAATTTTATTTTTTCGACAATTTATCTTAAAAATAAGTATATTATTATCAAAGCTTTAGTTTAGTTTAATATTTCTTAAATGAAATCAAACGTAAGCAAAAAAAATTATCAAGAACTTAATTATCCTCTTCAATCAACATCGATGTCATCCATCGTTTGTACCGAACCGAAGAACAGGACCGCAGTTAAATAAGGTGTTCTAAATATTAGTTTATTTTTAAAAGCCTTTGCGGGAAAGATCGAAATCAAAGTGAAAAGACACAACTAATGACCACAAACTCACACAGTCTGACAATTATGAGTAACATAAAAACTTCGTATATCATGCTGAAAAGGTAAGTTTTGTACATATATAGTATTTTTAACTTTTTTAGTATCAAGTTCACAGCGTATTTGACTGGGTCATGGTTTAATATTTTTAGCTCTATCGACTTAGACTAAGTTTCTTTGATTTATTTTTTAACGATTATTGTCTTCATGATAAATTAAAATGTATAGGTAGTCATTGTCCTGTAATAAATAAGTAAATAAATTGATCACCAGCTATAAGTATATGTAAGATTAGTAGTAGTATGATAGTAGCATGACAAGATTCATCCAAAAAGAAAAATCCTAACACACTTTAAACTTTTATGAGTATATGTTGTAATTTTATCTATAAACATCGAAACATCCATTGCGAGATGACAAAGAGGCTCAGAGATCTTCAAAGTGAATATTTATTATAATATGCGCCATTATGTGTCCGGCGCTCGATCGCTAGACGCGTTCACTTTACCTTGAAAGTGCTTTAGAGTTGGTTAATATGTTCACCTAAATACGACTCATCGCTTTTATTCGATCCAAATAAACTTTTTCATTTAAAATAAAGGACAAAGTTTGTTTGAAGCACAAAATGATTTTTTTTATAATTTGATTCCATTTTCTACATCAGATATTTTCTTTTCAGCGGGTCGTTCTTAAAAAATATTTAAAAAAATGTGTAATTCAAAATAATGTAAATTATGATATATAGTATATTCATAAATCTTATGATAATGTACTATATTATACAAAAACTATATGATACGATGATGTCAAAACCGACGATCTTTTAGAATTCAGAAATATTAATATAATATACATATTTATGTTCTTTTGGTATATTAAACATTTTTGAATAGCTTTTTAGGTCTCTCATTTTTTGAGTAACGTTGCTGATCCAAACTAATGAATTAATTGTCTTTCTGTGGCGAGTAAATTAAACAAGAATTAAACATGTTTAACAGTTTTATTAAAATACAATGTTTCGAATAAAAACATAAGTTAAAAGGTATTATGTACAAATCGGTAAAATTAAGTACAAAATGAACACTTGCATTGTCAGTATCGTCTGCCGTGAGCTGTGTCTCTTATATAATAATGACTTAAAATAAGTCTGACTTTTACTACATAAGTAGAGAATGTTATTGAATAAAAATAAACAAAAACTATTTAGTCTTAAAGCATATGCGTTATCACAACGTGATCACTTTAAATGACATTCTCATTGCCTGTTGCTGAGAGCAAAATGTCTACATATCACGCCTTGGAAATATAAAAAAACGCTTATTGACAATAGGTCGTATTCGTGGTAGACACATAACGGTAACATTTTATAATAGTCTATTGTATGAGTTGTGGTCTAAAATGTCTTTCAGCACTGGTAACTTATTAATCACACTATCTTTTTATTGCTGGTAGTAGAAACCTTTGTAGTCAAGGGCAGCCTTTTCTTCTTGTTGTTTAGCAGCTTCGGGGTTGTTCTTAGCTTCGAGAGCAGCGCGTTCCTGAAATAGTTAATGTAGTCATATAGTACTTTTACATTATAACATTATCATAAACCGCTGACACTTTAATCACCAACATCGAAATTATTTCACGAACCATCAAAATCTATGTAACGTATATATTAATAGTTACTTAAAACGAATAAAATATGTTTAGTAAATAGATTGCATATTTTGAACTCGTACTTTTTAAATTTACTAGATTAATATCTAAAATCTGGATCGAAGTTTTGATAAAAAAAATTACATTCTATATTTTAAAATATTAGTACCTGGTTAGCCTTAATTCCGGCGTAAATTTGATCAAGGCCCTTTTGAATTTCAGGTGATACTGGTGGTGGTGTTGGGATGTGGTCACCTTTGACCCTGAAGCCGAACTCATCGGCGGTGTATTCGACATTGATGACTTGACCGTCAGGGGCGGTGTAAGAGTAGGAACCTTGTTGTACCAAAGCACTTTGGTCCTCACCAACTGATTTTAAGTAACCTTGCTCCTCTGCTTGAATGTTGTTACCGGTTTCGTATCTATAAAAAGTATTTTGTAAAATTAATTCTACGATAGAACAAATACATGCATCAGAATGCGAAAAAAAATTTGAAAAATTTGATGTAAGACGGAGTAGAATTTATTATAAATTCGTTATTAATCTTTACGTTTGAAAATATTTAAGGCGATGGTTCCTCAATTCTAAGATTAATTAACAATAACAAATTCCTGTATATAAATTATGTTATTTTATATGAAAATCACTCTTCAGATAAAATTAGATGGATATTGTTCAAGAAAACTCTTCATCTCTCTCATCTTTTTATGTCAATTTTTTTTCTGCTAAAAAGATACTCACGAAGTTTTGTAGCTTCCATCAGTGCCTTGTTCCTTGTCGAAACGGATGATGGGGATGTAAGTGGTGGTGTCCAGCTGTACTTTGGGTCTGAAGTCCTCGACGGGACTGGCCGCTCTGTAGTCTGCCTGGTAGTAGTTCTGTTCAGCAGGCTGTTGGTCGCCTCTCCTTTGAGGGAGAGCCGCCGATAACGCCAGCAACGCGGATAATGTCACCTGAAAAACAAAATCGTTTCAAAACTTTAACATTTTACGTAGGTATATGGCCATGAGGCGTAATGACGTCTTGCGGAGATGAGCTTAATCATATTCATGATGTTGCAAGTTAAGGTGGAGCAGATACAATGAGTGCCATAGTTGCGAAACCACCTCATTCGACACGCATCTTGGGCGAAAGCGGGCTACAGTGAAACATGTATCGGCACTTACATACCCCCAGGTGCATTGTTTTCATTGTGATCCGAGTCACCACTTTAGCTATGCCTTTGGCGTTGAAAATGTGCGTACAAATAATGTTTCGCTTTTACGTAACAACTACCATCTATTGCAGAACAGTATAGAAAAAAACGGATTACAGCGCCCAGCCTTCTGTATCTGGTGTTAACGAATTGTTTTTTTTCGTAGACCGATGTGCACGCATCATTATTGAATACAGAAGTTTTTTCTTTATCGATTACGATAAGCAATTCGGTAGTAATAAATTTACCGTTTCCTTAAGAGAGTTAAGAATTGTATGACGTTATGTAGCCTCATAAATATACATGGATGGTACTTAACGCTTCAATTGTAAGCTCTCATCCGAAACGTTCAAACGCCTAAGAAAGTACTTAATACTCCTCAGCATATTAAATGCGTTTTAGTGACTTAACAAGTTGATTTCAATTTACTTTAATCTGTGCTTGTCGTTGTGTTAAACGTCACTTATTGTGAAAATTATTTCCTGAATAAATTCTTATATTAAATTTATTTTAAGTATTTTATTAATAAAAAACTATACACTCCAATTTTTATATCTTTTAAGTTATTCGAAAAATGTAAATGGAACGCATCTCACCTAAATTATAATATTTTTTTAAAAGTATAACATAGTGAGGTTATCTATTGAATAATGTGGTTACTGTCCAACATCATTCTAGGTGGAAATTTCAAGCGCACCATATGTGAACGGAGCTTTTTTTTGAAGCCAAAAACATTGTGACCTAGAAAGTAATGTTATGCAATTTACCGGCGCGATGAACGAGATCGTTTGTATAATAGCATGCTTTAAAAAGTAGGTAATGTACTAGAATCGACGTATTGTCTCGACCCGAACGTTTTAAAATCCTTGGACGCTAACGTAATACTAAATTATAGACTTCCAATTCTTCAGCTAAATTAAATCAGCCTTATTAAAGTAGACTTCTTGTTGTTTTGCATACTTTCTTCTTTCATTCATATGTATCACAAACACAAAAAGTATGTTGGATTAGGGAAAAACCGAGTATTTTATACTTTATTAAGTACCCAATTAAAGTGAGTAATGAATAAAAGAAGAAAGCTTAACATTTGTACCAATCGTCAAATGCACTTGGGTAAATTATTGTTAGTTTGGTATCTGTTTAAAAGATGAAAAATATGTGGCTAAAGAATCTATATTCACTTACAATACATGCTCAATAGATTTACACAATGGAAAATTGTAACTTAAGTTGTTATGTAAAGTAAAATCCTTTAACCTTACAATTCTTAAAAAATTCATCATATTTTTTAATAATTCATCAGATAGTAAAGTCTTTAATATTTATTTTGAGCCGATCACTCACTATAATCGTTGAAAGTTTTCAATTCGCAGATCAAAAGATTAATGTCAAACAACCATACATTGACCAATAAGCATTTTATTATAATAGATGAACATTTTAAAACATTATGTCAAAGTTCAACAACCGACCCTATTCGGCGGTGCATCTCGCAAGAGATGATTGCGGAAATTCACGAACATTGAAGCAACGTTTCATCTCGAGTTAATCACGCACATCTAGCTAGGAGCTTTCATGGGCATTTCACTACAACTAATTACGTTACGATCCGAGTGGGCGCGAAAAGAAAACTGATGACATTGAACTTATTCTTATGGTTACGGACGCTTAATAAAAACAAGCTTTTTAACTCACCAGTAGTTTCATTGTTATTTTTGGGATAATGCGTGCGGCAACGATGCACGTGAAGTCTCTTCAGAACTGTGTCAGAGTGGTAGTTATACGCTCACTTATATACTTCACCCCTGCCACTAACTCGCTCTCTGCCCCGAGACATCGCACTTTCATACCCGATTCGCAGCTCCAATGTACCGGTGACTTGTCGCTAAGAGATGTCGCGGTTTTTATTTCATTTACATATCGACGAATAACATTGCAAAGAGACACGAAAATCATTACCTTTGTGTACCCTTTCTGGGCAATATGTAATTCTAATCACCCTACTAAATGTTTACGCAAGGTTATGACTTTTGCGGAGGTCGTAATCTACGACATCTCCGGAGTTGCACTTGGAATTCCAACTCCATTAATGTCAACAATCTGATTTTATGATTGTTTTACATAGATATAAGCGTTGAGTAATTGTGCGAATGTCTTTAATACAATCGAGCGCTAGTTTTTGAATTTCTAACGAAGAAGTAATAGATTATCGCTTATTAATCGACAGTAAGAGTTGTTTTCAACGTTCTGAATTTGTTTTACATCAGAATGGGGCGTTGTGTCTGTTTTACGCTAAATTAATATTTTAGTGTAAGTTATGGCGTTAACCCGTGTAACGATTTATTTTTCCCCAAAAGAGAAATCTTATACAAACGAAACGTAATGAACTGACGTCACTTAACGTTTCAGATTAAGACAATTGTATTTTAATCAAGTTGTATTAATTAAAATGAGTAAAATTAAAAAAAATTGCTTGTTTATGGAAATGGATACTGGGATACATAGGATCAAATGATATTAATTATGTCATTCGTGTTTTTATATCGTATTTGTAAAACTTACTTTCCTCCCGTCTATATAAAGTAGACAACCACCAGTGCGCAGATTTTATTTTAACTAATATATCATTCCATGATTGTAAGTTAACGAAGTTTTCTCAAGCTGTAATGTAACAATTACTATAACAGATATTATTCAAAATTCTATTTGTCTCTCCATATTTTTTTTTGGTAAAATTAAAGCGGTATTACTTTATTCGGATGTTAATAATTATGATTATTTTTTTATATTTAATATATTTGTATCAAAAAATACCACATTTTTAGTACATTTTAATAAAATGTCCCTATTTTACAGTGCATATTATGTCCATACAAAAAAAACTAACAATTTTAATAAAAAAATAACTATGTTTCATGATTATTGATTACTAGCGACCCGCCCCGGCTTCGCACGGGTGCAATGTATTATACATATAAACCATCCTCTTGAATCACTGTATCTAGTAAAAAAAACCGCATTGAGATCCGTTACGTAGTTTTAAAGATCTAATCACACATAGGGACAGACATACAACGGGACGACTTTGTTTTACAGTATGTAGTGATACATTAGAATGACATTTCTGATTATTGACTTTTGATACATATATCGATGTCACCCGTTCAAAGTTAGAACAAAATGGATTTTGTATTTGTGATGCTTAAATGTAGGAAGTAAATGTTGTCAATTACAATTAATAATTTAAAGAAAGGCTTGTTATGGAAGTGAGTGATTAGTATCGGTTAAAGAAGAGTAAGTATAGTATGGGCATTCCGCAGAATTGTTTAAAGCCGTTGCCAAGAGCAGGTTACGTAAAGTCATCTCCACCCATAAAGTTACCGACACCGGCATGCCTTGTAGGTTAGTAGTGTGTCTTTCGCTAAACGCACTTATCACTGACCCACGTCATTGTGAATGTCTTGTCGATTTTTAAAACATTGACTATGTAAGCAATTTTGTTAAATTTTCTTTGGCAATTCTCATTATAGTAAAAAGCAAAATAAAATGCATTGTTTTAAATCAAGGAATGATTCTATTCTATTTATAATGATTTTATATATGTAATGAAAAATACTATTATTCTAAAGTATTTAGTCTAGTCTTTCCAAAATGAAAAAAAATCTGTAATCTTATATTTGTCAAGTTAATGAAGTTAGAAACTGAATTAATATTTTAAAAAACTTGAAGGGCATAAGATGACTGTTGGTAAACTACTATTAAATAATCTGTACCTTTTTTAGGGTTCCGAACCTTCAAAAGTAAAAAAGGAACCGTTATAAGATCTCTATCTTGTCCGTCTGTCCGTGTGTCACCACCGTCCGTTTTCTCCGGAAGGGGTGGACATAATAAGTTGATTTATACCAGACTAGTGACCCGCCCCGGTTTCGCACGGGTGCAATATATTATACATGTAAACCTTAATCTGGAACCACTCTATCTAGCAAAAAACCGCAACAAGATCCGTTGCATACTTTTAAAAAATCTAAGCAGACATAGGGACAGACGGATAGCGGGCCGACTTTGTTTCATACTATGTAGCTTATACCTGATACTGAAGTCTATGGTCCCTATTATAGGTGTATAAAAATCAAGGTCCTGAGTCAAAAAGATAAAAAGATACGAGTTTTCACGAAAATCTAAATTTGCTCATATCTTTTTATCGTGGTAACTCAGAACCGTATAATGGGTAGGGACGGAACCCTCGGCGTACGAGTTCGACTCGCACTTGACCGGTTTTATATCTTTGGTATTAAGAAATGTTGCTTGTTATGTCATCATCATTATTTCTGTGTCTCTTTGAGTCCACTAGCGAACATAGGCTTCCCCCATAGATCGCCAATAAGCATTATCCTGAGCCACCTAGAGTTCACATATCTTATATCGGACCTTTATTTTTAATATTGTATCGAAAATATGCAGGTGTGTTTCCTCAATCCCTGAGCATGTGATAAGTCAGCACTTATAATTGCACTAACAATTTCATTGGTCGTGACATCAGGAATTATACTCAGTTTGCTAGAGCATATTGAATTAGAAGCTAACACATTGAGCTATCAAGATTCTGTTCTTTTTGTATACAAAATATTAAAGCACGTATGTAATGGGTTGTGTCAGTCGTTGTAGTGAGAAAGGTGGTAGTGTATGATTCATTTAAGGCAAACGCTTTCTAACCTTGACAAACTTTGTTTATCCACGAATGTTTACTCAGATCTTGCATTACGCACAGGACATGCGAACTAAAAGCTAAAATTCCTAGTTAAATATGTTGAAATAATTCACACATACAGTGTCTCAATAATAATTTTATGTATTTTATTACTCCATATTGTAATTATATAATTTCAGATGTAGGCACATGTATGCTTTACAATCAGTCAAACAATCAAGTAACCCAATTTCTGATCTAACTCAACGATACAATCGTGAATTTTAATTAAAAAAAAGACCACAATTGTATATTTTTACATGATTATAAGGGTAAAAAACTCTTATTAAGTAAAACTATATTTCAAAAATATAATGTAAACAAAATTTATATCATGCTCATTATGGCAAATAATAGACACTAATAAGTAAAATTTAAAGCTTAATTTGCCATTAAAAACAATAATGGATTTTATGGAATATCATCATTTGAGGTATAGGAAAATAAAAGATTTAAAAAAAAAATATAAGTAAAGCGCTAGAACTCTGTACATTTCTAACCTGTGTCTAGAGTAATTACATCGTAAGATTCTTTTCATTGTTTTCACTGATCCTATGAATATTTTTTTCTATTTATAGGTGATCAATCTACGGGGAATTTTACGAAGAAGTTTAACATAAGTACCGATGGGTACATTCAAATACCATTCACAACCTACGTACATCCTACAACAAAACAAAGCTAATGAATAGCAGATATTGAGTTATTGTTCTGTGTATCAAAGTGAATCAGCAGGTATTAGTCAAATTTTCAAAACTGTATTTAATTTAAATAGACTACAGAAACAACTCTAACAAATACTGTTATAAAGCTGAAAATACTCAAAAGGAACAGCCTATACATGTCCCACTGCTGGGCAAAGGCCTCCTCTATACAGAGGGTATCAGGGCATAGTCCACCACGCGGCCCCACTGCGGATTGGCGGACTTCACATATTTTCGAAATATGTTTTTTTTTTTTTATTATTTCGAAAATATGCAGGTTTCCTCACGATGTTTTCCTTCACCGCGGAGCACGTGATAAGACAGCACTTAAAGTTAAAAACTTCATTGGTGCCGGCACCGGGGATCGAACTCAGGTTGCTGGAGTATATTGAATTAAAGGCGAGCGCCCGGACACTGAGCTATCACGGCTCTGAAAAGACTCAATGTCTCAGAAAAATTCTCTAAATGGACATGCATCCACGATAGAAATCTAACTTTAAATCATGTAGGTGTATTTCTTAATGATAATATCCACATTGATTACCCAAATTCATCAAATTAATTGATCCAGGACTCAAAATAACTATACAAAAAAATAACAAATTCAAGATACTCCTGGTCACATTAAGTAAAAAAGCCAAATAACAAAATGAACATTAAACTTATTTAGGTCATACTAGCATGGCTAATATGTCAGTCATTGATTGCTAAATGAAAGTGAGAGGAATAAAAAACGCTTCTTCAAATATGTGCCTGAGAGGCGTTCGCTGAACTTGACATTTGATGCTCCGATATTTAAATTAGACCTAAAGACTCGTCGACTACAAAAATACGCATCTAATATATAAAATTCTCGTGTCACGGTGTTTGTAATTGAACTCCTCCAAAACGGCTCGACGGATGTTCGTGAAATTTTGTGTGCATATCGGCCAAGGTGGAGAATCGGACATTATCTATTTTTCATCCCCTTAAATGCTAAGGTTAGTCACCAATATTTTTTTTATAAAAAATGCTGTTTTTTTTATGATACAGATTACAAAAATACATACAACCCTAAATTTTCACCCCTCTACGATCAACCCCTATTATTTATTTGTTAATTAAAACTATATACATACTACTAGAAACTATATACATAGCAAAACAACGTTTGCCGGGTCAGCTAGTAATGATATAAAAATAGTTTACAACAACGAGGCCGTCTATTTTAACTTTTTATTACGAACTAATCGCTCCGCCTTGTCATCAATTTATAA